ACTAATGAACTACATCATTTGCTTGTGGCTTCCCACACTTTTGCATACTGTTTTGCAGGCTGGTTGTGTGACAAGCCTTTTACGCTGTCAGCATCTCTGTCAGTTATGAGCGTTCACATTATCAAGAAATAACACTCAATCACGCTAGCTGCTCCTTGCCTTGAGCTAAATGCTAATACCAGACTGCTAATATCCTTACCGTGACAGTGCTGACATGCAGATGTTACCAGATGTAAAGTAAATGTTAAGCTTTGAGGGCAGATGCAGGGCTGTGTGCATGACTTCATTGAAAAGAGCTAATTAGTATGTATGAATGTAATTGCTAAATCCGTTTTAAGAAGAAGAGACGTGAAAGTCGTTGTCATGTGGCAAACAGGGCTGCTTCATTATGGCAAAAATAATAATCACAGTTATTTTGGTGAATATAGAAACCTTGATTTTTAAGATCTCCACCGTGCTTGACATGTGATATGAGGTGTTGTTGGCCAAACATGGCGCTGTGTATCATGGCTAAACATGATCTAGACCAGGGATGTCCAACTCCAGTCCTACAGAGCTACTGTCCTGCAACTTTTAGATGCATCAATAGCTTGTTACCAGGCCTTTTCCTAACTTGATGGCATGTTGAAGAGGTAATTCAATCATTTGATTCAGCTGTGTTGGAGTAAAGATACATCTAAAAGCTGCAGGCCAGTATTTCTCTAGGATTGGAGTTGGACACTTCTGTTCCAGACGTCGTGTGGTTTGTCCAGATGCAACACAAAGCTGAGCAGTGCTGCCATGTCTTTCTCCTGGCAACACTTCCAAGCAAGCCATACTTTTTCCAATTTTACTCATGAACTTTAACATTGTAACTGTAGAGTTTATGATGTTTATGATTGAAATTTCTCTGCAGATTCCTCCTTGGTATTGAGTTAACACACACCCGAATGGTCCAAAACATCAATTGCTGCTAATTACCCTTTTAATTCCTATGGGTTCAATATGGTTGTACTTGATTTTTTAATTAGTTTGCTGCTTTTGAATTTTGCATTGGTTTTGATAATTAAATAATAGCATTGTGTATGTCATGTTTTACTTTTATTGCCATGTGTAGATGTGATTTGCAAAACAAAAAGTTCAAAAAGTAGGACCGAAATGAGAGAACAGTCAATGTAACAATAAATCAGTCATACTTTGTGTTTCATTAATGCAAATTTCTTTTGATGTTTATATTGGAAGTCCCGGACACATCCCAGGAGGACGTATGAGGATATATATTTGCTACTCTGCATCTCTGTGTCACTTCTTTATAGTTAATGGCATAATTTCCAGCACACTGCAAAACAGACAAGGAAAACAGCTCCACCTACAGAAATGTATACATAGAAAATTTACACCACAACATGTATGCCTGGGAAATTTAGTCCAAATATTGCAGCAAAAGTCAAACAACATAAACATTTTT